TGCTTATCACAATGTCTGCTACCTAGAAGGACCTAATAAATGTTAACTGTTTTACTCTACATACCTCTCTTTTAACATTAATAACTTTCTACATTACCTTCTAGTTATTTGCCTGTGTTTTAAATTCCTGTCTACATTCTAATTTCAGTAAGCTTTGGTGCTTTGTATAATTAATCTTTGAACATTCCCAGCCTATATATATAGATAGATAGATAGTTTTACATTATACCTATCTAGTTATATTTTTCATACTACATGTAACACACATATAGATTTTCATAGTACATTTATATGTTCACATATTTATATTTTATATCATACTGAAAAGACTATATAAATAAAATATGCAACTATATATTTATATATATGTATCCTACATTTATCATTTATTGCCTGAAAAAATACAGTATAAGTAAGGTGTGACCACACCATCATGAATCCTATGCTCTGTGTCTTGTGGAATCAGTTGAATTACAGTTGCATATTTCTTAGTCTAGTCCTGCTAATCTATTCCTTTCTCTGTTAGGAAAGAGCTGCATAAAAACTCTTCTTCTCTTTGAGTAGACACATTACTCTTGCCTTTATCTTGGCATACTCATGAACAATGAAAAATCCTAGCTAAAAGCCACAGAACAAATAGCCATTTCAGTACTAAGACCAGGCACTTCCTTGCTGTGGGGGTTGCTGGTCCTAACACAGGGACTGACAAATGCGTTTTGGGTTGTCACGGTGGAAGCTGCTCCTCAGCATTCTTTGCTCACCCTAACTTGGCTTCACACTCTACGTTTCACTCATGTTATATATACATAGATTGTTCAGTCATCAGGATAAAAAATAGGGCTTCTGGCCCTGGCCGGTTTTGCTCAGTGGTTAGAGCATCGACCTGCGGTCCAGAGAAACCCAGGTTCGGTTCCTGTTAAGGGCATGTACCTCGGTTGCAGTTTGTCCCCGGCCCTGGTTGGGTCATGCGGGAGGCAGCCACTCCATGTGTCCCTTTCACATTGATGTTTTTCTCTCTCTCTCTCTCTCTTCCTCTCTCTCCCTCCCACTCTATCTGAACAAAAAATGTCCTCGGGTGAGGATAAAAAAATAAATTAAAAAATAGGGCTTCTGTTTCATTAGTGTCCAAATTACCTGACCTACTAAAAAGTTATTATGTCAGAGGAAGAAGCCAGATCCAAGAATGCATGCTGAATTATTCCGTTTACATAAGGTATTTTAAAAACAGGTAAAATTGATATATTTGTTAGAAGTCAAGGCCGTGGTTACCCTGGGGGGAACACTGACTGAAAGGAAATAATAAAAACATTTCTGGGTGTTGGGAATGTCCTATTTCTTCAGTTTTTCAGTTGTGTTCAGCTTGTGAAAATTCATCAAACTTAAGATATATGCACTTTTCGGTATCAATATTTTATTTCAATAAAAAATTTGGGTTTTGTGTCAATCCTGTCTGAAGTAAATGGAAAACTAAGAAAACTTGGAACTTGGTCATCTTTTAATCAAACTTCATGTTCATGTCATTTTAAAGATTTTGTTATATGTCTCTATCTCCTAGAATGAGTAAGGCAGCAAGTTTTTGTTGCACATATTTCCTCTGTGGCATTTATTCACTTTTTAATTTTATTTTCAGTCCTGATTGAGTCTGTTGAGCCAACCAAACTGGGTGAAAAGTTAAAGAGTTAAGTCCTATATCCCCACATTCTTTATAATATTCTCTACAGAAAATAACCACAGAAACACAGAAGATGACTTCTCCAGGGGAGAGAATGTGCACAGGATGCCACTTGCTGCGTTATCTCCTTTAAAAACGCATTTCTTCTATATTATGAAAGAATTACAAATTAACATTCCAACTCCAGAGATCAATACCTACAATATGAGAGGGACAGCAGTGAAAGGAATGTCCTCAGATTTAGTTATTAGCAGGAAAGAACACTCAGAGAAAAAAAACTGAGAACACTGAGCCCTCTTCTAAAATAATTGAAAGACCTCTTGCTGCCACATAATGAAGGCGGGGCTAGTACAAAACATTTATTTGCTATTATTTAACCTCCCCACCCTGACTATTTTGGCCCAGTAGCAAGTTCACCCATTAGGAGGGCCCTGGGGTCCATCCAAAATAAAAAATTGCTTTTCCTGTTTGGAATAATGATCATTCCTCCCAAGGAAACAAACTGACCCCAGGTATTCCATCGCCAACAAACCAATTACTATTAAGTAACTTGGATGGAATCAGGGCTCAGAGGAAAGATGCTCCCTCAAAACTGGGCTAAGGTGAACCAAAGAGAGGACATTATAGCATCAACTAGATTAACTACTCATATTCAAGGATTGCTGAGTCCTTTCAGCAACAAAGGAAAGGAATTCAACTACCAATAAGGAAAGGCATTCTGAGAGTAACTGGAAAAGAAAGGCTCCACTCTTCCTTTCAAAGGTAGTGTTAGGGCTAGTCTGGCTGCAAAGACAATTAGTGAAAACATAGCAACTGTAATGCATTTAAAGGCAATCCTTAAACTTCAGCACGTTCCCAATTGCAAAATAACAATCTCACACTCCTGTCTCTAAATGGCTTCAAACTTTCTCCCAACAGCTTTCACTGCAGCCTTTTTGTGCAAACCTTCGTAGGTTGCACCTGTTTCCCACATCACTACTGGAAGCAAAGTTGGAGAAAAGAAGGAATGGGGAGATTTAAAGTAACACAAATCAATTTTATACTAAAAAAGTTTTCCAGTTTAGTGTAAAAAGGGAGGTCTAGTGGGGAACGGGGAACGAGACAGAAGGGGAAACAGACGTCTGGCTAACTCCCAACGCAGAAATCATGACTCATCAAGGCTTTCAGAGGGGACAGGAGACTGAATTTGTCTTGAGTTCACCTTCAGGCCAATAAAATGCTCTCTGAACTGAGACTGGGAAACTTGAGTGTTTGTCCTGTGTCTGTGACAACTGGCTATGAGGCCTTGGGCAAAACCCCTAAAAGTCTCTGGTTCTCGGTTTCCTCATCCGCTGGCGATCGCTGAGAAATGTCCCATCTGCCTTTAACGGTCTATACAGCATTTGAGATTTCCAGTTCCCATAACCTAAAGGGAATTGGCCCACTGGGGGGAGCTGCAGAACACCCCTCTCCTCTCAAACTCCACCGCCCATGGGCTCAGATTCTGATGTCTTGGAAGTAGATGTGAAGAGTTCAAATCCCTCCTCTCTATAAAAGGGGGCCACAATTGTATAAAAGGGGGTCACAGTTGCAGAGTCCAGTCCCTACAGACGCTGCACCACGCGATTCCGGAAGTACCCTCCACACCTCCACCTCCGCCCGGGGTTTAGATGACCCGGGGATGAGGGCGAGGGGTGGGCGGTGAAGAATACAGAGCGGAGGCACGGGGCCTCTCTTCCAGGAAAGCTGGAGAGATCTGCAGAGGTACTGGGAACTCGTCAGGCGAGGGAGAGGTGCATGGGGCAGGGCCGAAGGAGGGCAGCCCTTATCTGTTCCTGATCCCCCCAGCCTGGCCCGCGGGATCCGAGGCCCGCGCCCCCAGGCTCTCCGGCCGGGAGCGAGGGGCGTGTCCCGAGCGGAGGTGACACGGCCCAGCTCAGGGAGCGCTGTTGCGACCGGCCAGTCCCCGGCTGCCTCGGCCCCAAACCCTCAGCCCCGTCGGCGAGCGAGCTCAGCATGACAAAACAAACTCGTGCCGGCTTCCTGTTGTGCAACCCGGTCCTGAGTAAGTCGGACGAAAGAGCGCCGCCGCTGGCCCACCGCTGGGAATCCCAGGGGCCGGGACCGGCAGACTGCCCGGCCGGCCAGAGCCGGAATCTCGGGGGAGCCGCGTCCGCTCGCCGCTGCCGGGAGCGCACAGCCCCTGCCGGGCGGGTGTCCCAACCCTCAGGTCTCCTTTCACTTCTTGCCTCCCAAATCCCCAAAACAAGTTGAGGGCGCGACCGGTGAAGCCAAAAACGACCTTTCCCAAAGTTTCTCCCGCCGGGTACCTAATTGAATCATCCATAGGATGACAAATCTGCCAGGGCCAAGTTTTCCAGACACTTGGGTGACTTCCTCATCCCTGAGGTGACCTGTCAGCTCCAGTGAGTAACTTGGAAGTGTCGCTCCAGGCAAGGTGTGTGTCTAAAAGGGAGCGGGCTGCTCACTCACGCTTTCCAGAGAGTAGCTCAGCCGACTTCAAAATACACAGGGTCATTTATAGGGACTGGAGCCATACGCAGGACAAAGTCCCTGAAACTGAGACATTTTCCAAACAGTGCTGACATTTTGTCGGGTCCCATAAAAATGTAAACGCGAGGTGACGAACCCGGTGGGGAGTGTGCAAGCCTGAATGTGTCTGCGCTTTCTGCAATGTGGGAGGTTACAGTTACGACCGGGAGGATGTGGGTCACAGGACCATCCCCGCCAGGAGTTAACGCACCCCCAACCCAAGGACCTCCTTGAGCAAGGCACAGCCGGGGAAAGCAGCCTTCGTGGGGCTCCACAAACACGTGGAACTGGAAAAGACAACTACAGCCGCGTGTGCGAGAGAGACCTCACGTCACCCCATCAATTCCCACTTTTCTCAAGTTTCCCTTCAGTGAGGACTCCTGGTGGCGTGCACAACCATGCCTGTGCGTCCTCTAACTTGCCCTGATTATGTAGCCCTCTGGCCCCTGCAGTTGAAAAGAAAAAACAAAATCCAAAACTCTCCCTAATTAGAGAAACTTTAAAACCTTGTTGATTTCCTTTCCGTTCTCTACACTGGACGCTTTGGGGCAACTGACAAGCACTTAGCAAGATTTCTCATGGAGGGTCCCTATCTCTCTCAGTAAACAGATCCTTTAGACCATCTGGGGGTGGGGTGCGCGTCTCCTTAACCCGCGCGAACAACACCGGCTCAGCGTGGAAAACTATTTCTAATCTCTAGTTTGAGTCTCTGAGCGTTAACTCCCCCCCACACTCTCAAACGGCCGTTTCTTCCTGTCTCTCGCCTGCGAACAAAGTTCCTATGGCATCCACTTACCAGGTAACCGGGATTTCCACAACAAAGCCGGTGTGCGGGTCCCTTCCCCCGGCCAGCCCGCAGGGGTGACAGCAGGCAGCCAGCGCTGGCGAGGAGAAACTTGGGGCTCCAGCCCTTCAGCACGCTCCACGGGTTCTGCCTCCTTCTGAAATGAAAACTCCCATCCAAGCCTGGGGACCGAGCGCGGAAACCCGGCCCAAGTGCCCTGAGTGCGCGCGCGTGTACGAGGGCAGCAGCGGCAGAAGGAGGAGGCAGAAGGGGGGTGGCTGGACCCTCGGCATCAGCTCCTTCACACACTCACACTCACACACACACACGCACACACACACACGCACGCAAATAGTGTTTTTAAAAAGTTGAGTTTCGACTTTGTGCCTCGCCTGTCCTGCTCATCCTCGCCCTGGGCCGGGGGATGCGTCTGGGGGCCGGCCTGGGATACTGGCTAATTGGTTTCCGCGGGTTCCGTCGGGGAAGTGCCGGTGCGAGCCTGGACGGCTACAGGCTGCGCGGGGAGGGGCGGCGCCGGTGCCCGCGCGCCGCGCTCTGGGCTGCCCGAGCGGCGCAGTGTGGACGCGGCCGCGGGGAGAGGGGAAGGGGGAGGGAGGGAGGGAGGGAGGGAGGCGGCCCTGCGAGGAGTGTGGATGTTGGTGCGGCAGCGAGGGCCGGCCTGTAGCCAGCTGCTTCCTGAGTGTGAGCGCAGAAGGGGGAGGGGGAAAGAGGTGGGGGCGGGCTCGCTGGTCACCAGGCTGGCCAATTCGAAGGCCGAGCTTGTGTCTCCCTCTCGACGCGCTAACACACACTCCTAATCGTGCGCCAGAGTCGAGGAACTTCAGAATCGGGTAACAGCAGCAGGGAGACACTTTGCCTTCTTCTTGGGACTTATTTCTTGAACTGGCTTTTTTCTTTAACATGAAAAAGCGTCAGCGTTTAGACAGGATTTGATGTCAAATCCTAAAAAACAAGAGAAAAAAAACAAAAACACCCAGTAATAAAACGGAAAGAATAAAAACGAAGAAGTGAAAAATGGCAAAAGTGTCTTTCTGATATACAGGATTGGATGCACATAACTTCGAAAATGGATAGGTGAGGCACAGAGGATGCTTTTGGCATCTTTTTTAAATGAAGTATAGGCAGGGGAGAGGGAAGGGGGTGGAAATGTTACAAGGATGTGAAATTCTGTACAGGCTGCATGGAATGGGGGCACATTCCCTGCATATGTTGCATCTATTAGCAGCACTTTCTCCTTAAGAATTCAACATCCGCAGCTTTATACCCCACCTAAGCTGTGACCCCAGCCCTTCTGCTTGGCTTAATTGGAGTGCTGAAGAGGTTGGTCAACTGTTAGTTGTTCCCCACATGTATTGCCACAGATGCACAGATGAATCAATGTATACAAAGTACATATATAAAGGCAATATATGTAAAACAAGTATTCTTGTTAGGCCTTTTGTTGTTCAGATAGAGTAGGAGGGAGAGAGAGAGAGAGAAACATGTACGTGAAAGGGACACATCGAGTGGCCGCCTCCCTCATGGCCCTGGTTGGGTTGGGGACAAACCAACCGAGGTGGGTGCCCTTAGCAGGAACCAAACCCCGGTCGCTCTGGACCACAGGCCAGATCTCTCTGGACCGTAGGCCAGATCTCTCTGGATCGAAGGCGGATGCTCTAAGGGCTGAGCCAAACGGGCCAGGGCCTTGTTAGGTTAGGTCTTTCTGCAGTGAGAGTATTATTCACTCTCATGAATGAGATGAATGAAGGTATCTCAAGACACTTAGAATTTCACCAGTCATTATATTCTATTGTAGGGCTCTCACTCAATTGTAAATTAGCATTCAGATAGTAGATGCTATGCTCAAAACAGAAGCCCTCAAGTACACAAGTGACTCACCCTAAAAAAGCAAAGCAAAAATATTGACACTTTTCATTTATCTTATTTCAGAAAGAATATTATTAGAGTTGGTCTGCATCCATATTGGCCAAAAAAGGGCCAATTTTCACAGTACTTTTTATGTCTTGGTTTGCTCTGCTTTCCAAGACTCCCTTTAGGGAAGGTGTTTCTTTCCCTTTCCTAAAGACAAACTCATCAAAATATTAATCACTAGAATATCTGTCAGCAGAAGTGAAAAGAGGGAAATAAATTAATAAGTGCTTAGGAAACGTCATTCTGTCAACTTTCCAGTTTCTCCCTCTGTTCTTCGTCTCCTTTTAAATGCAAGTATCCAAGCCCAAGATGGCAATTGATGGGTTCAACCACACACAAGAAAAGAAAATACTCATAAAATGAAGCATGCAGTAACATCACAAAAACAAAGAAACCAAGTGCTGGAAATTGCCATGACTATTCCATTGTGGCTAGTTATTGCAACATGCCTGACATTCACATAAAAACTCTTCCTCATTAACTCCAGCCTTCAGGAGCAGACAAGATGGGAACACTGGCCCTTCAGTGCATCACGGGAAATTCTCCTCATGCACACTCGTGTGCTGTATGGCCTGTTCCCCAGGAACAAGACAAGGCTGGGTGGAGACTGCAAAAGATCTTTCCAATGTGCCTCAAATATTTCAAATACAATAGTTTTGATGCATGAAATGATATCTGGGACTTGCAGAAGCTTCCAAAACTTCCCACTTGGTCGGAATAGCTTAGCTGGAAGATAAAAATATAGTGTTACTCCCTATTTTAATCAATGGCTCATGGAAATAAAACACTGGAAAAGTTATTAGTCAGCAACCTACAGATCTTCAAAATTCTCTTCACTTATAAGAGCCCAAGGGTGGAAATGCCATTTTTTATTTAGGTGGAATTTTCATGAGCCTCTAACATTCCTAAGACATTTACCACTAAATAGGTACAGTACTTTGGTTGACTTTTTTTTTTTTTTTCCTGGCCAGGAATGTAGATCTGCAATGTCCTTACATTCCATGGGATATAGTAAAAATGCAGCATTTCCAATACAACCCTGGAGTGACTCAGAATGAGATCTGCACCTCTTCTGGACTGGATCACCCAACGTGGGGGGAGGAGGAGACAGGAGAATAATGAGAGATGATGGGAAAGGAAATAGTGTAGTTCAGCAATGACACTCTCCCTTCCCGGTGAGCTCTCCATTGTGCTTAGGAATCACACCCTGGCAGCCTTTCAGACAGATAGGTGGGAACTACAAACCATTGGTATCTTCCCTCTCTGGAACCTTCAGTTGTACGCATCTCAACTGCTGACTCAGAGCAGCTGATTCAGCAGACAGGGCCCTGCTGCCAGCTCGAGTCCAGTTCTTATTCATTTGAGAAATATTCAGTGAGTACCTACTCTGTCCCAGGATTAGGGGTAAGTAAAGGAATTGACACTTGCAGGCACAGTGCGTGAGAAGATGTTACATAAAGTATTTTGCCCAATTCCTGGGATATAAAACCCTCAAGAAATGGTGGTTTTTTGCACATATTGTCTCATCTACTCCTCAAGCAATCTTAGGAGATGTCCATTGGTCGCCTCCTATTTAGAAGCAAGGAAGCTGAAGCTCAGTAAACAGTTAAAAGGAGTAAGAGGTAGAGCTAGATTTGCCAGTCTGGAAGCCCCAAGTTCTTTCAACATTGATATCCTACAAAATAACTGTGCATATTCTTTGTGTGCAAAGTACACTAAACTTGTATAAACTACAAGGCATTTTATGATCAATGTCAGATAAGCACAACCAAGCGGAAGAGGCAGGAATACCTTCTTACAACAGGACACAGAATAGTTTAGCTGAGCTGGCCTTCAGAGAATGGGTAGAAAATTGATAAACAAAGAAGACCATTCCAAATAGAGGAATCTATATCACAAAGGGCACAACAGGCATAGACCCTGTGGATCTGCTCATATAAAGCTAATATACAAAATAAGAACATTCACAATCTCATAGCTATAGCCCTGGAACACAGTGGACTCCCAGAGGGAGCATCCTAACACAAACTTTCAGAACTGTTACTTGTGCCTGTCTGAGTGATCTGACAGCAAACTATTTACAAACTTGCAAAGAACTATGATCAGATTCTTACTCCTATAAAGGGTCTATAGAGAGAAAAAGATTTTAACCCCAGAATGCAGACAACCCCAGTGACAGTATGCCTAGCTATGAACACACACACACACACACACACACACACACACACACACACACACGAGCTGGCAAGTTATGTAGAAATGCAGTGGAAAAAGTCAGTGTTTGCCAACTTAAAGAAGTGAACTAAATGTGTAAGATGGAAACTCTCCATTTTACCTTCCTAAGTGAGTGGTACAAACAGTGGAATGTTATCAGTGCTTGATACCCTAATAAAACTTTTAAATTGATCCTTTGACTAATTTTTCCACAAGTACAGTCAGCCCAGACTTTCCTGCTTGCACATCAGTGATGCAATTTTCAAAATTATGATTGATACCCATTATATTTTTAGCATCATACCTCTTTTCCTTTCTAAGGTCAAACTGTAAATCAGAGTCTAAACTGCAAAATGTGAAATAATTTACTCCATACACTGTCTCGACGTCTTTTTTGATTGATAAAAGTTTTCTTCCTATTTATACAAACCCAACTAAGATGCATCTAATATTCTACAAAGGTTAATTTGATATTCCTTGACATATTACTAAAGTATATGTACAAAAAGTTGACCAAAATAAAAATAAATTTAAAAAGTTGACCAAAATAAAAATAAATTTATAGTATATACAATATTCCACAGGCAGCCAGTTTCCTACTCTTTTACCACACAGTATCCATTCTGGCCACTTATATATGGTGTTATAAAATTAATTTCCTGATAATTATGCTGTCTTACCCAGAACTGCCTACTCTAAGTACCTTCTAATGCCCAAAATTTACATTTCTCCATAAGCCTTTCATGGCCTAGCAACATTACTGGGCACTAGTAAGTATGTAATGCTAACTGAATGAATTAATGAATGAATGAGGAAGTGAAAGAACAGTTTCCCTACTTTCAGAGATTATGAATAGCACTAACAATTGTTTTTGTATATATAATCATGTCAATACTACAAATGAGTCTAAACACCTGTTATTTTCTTTCTGTGTCCCCAGGCTCTTCATTGTAAATTGAAGACTAAAATACTACAGTACCTCCTAATTCTTAGGGAAGAAAATTCAGTTTCTGTTCAATACTTAATTAGGAGAGTGAGCCTCCCCCTCCACTGCCCTGTGACCCTTTGCTATCTGACACCCCACTACCTCCTGAATACCGTAGCACACCAGGTCGTTTGTGCCATACCTTGAATTCTACCAAAATATATATATATATGTATATATGTGTGTGTGCATATATATATATATATATGCATACACACACACACACACACACACTAAATCATGTTGAGAAAAAGGAAGGAAAATACGGAATGAGGTTTCACAGAGGAAGACGAATTTTTTTTTTTGATGAGATGAAATAAAGAAGGCAAGACCGTATTAGGATACCATAAAGATAATTGGGCGGGGGGGGGGGGGGGATAAGTTTGGGGTAGAATTAATCTCTGAAAAAAAAGTGATTCAGTGATCTTTCAGACTCCTGACTCACCTCAAGTTCTAAATATACCTGCAAGGAGTTTGAATACATTTAGAAATGTTCTGCAGCTCCCAAATCATCATGATGCTAAAG